GGGGGTGGGGTGGGGGGTGGGCAGAAAGGATACGGGAATGTGAGCTCTCTGTCCTGTGAGTCCTAAGAAGAGGATGGTGCTTCACTTTAAAGGGTGAGGAAACCGAGGTTCAGAGACACCAAGTGTTTTCCCCAAAGCCACACAGGCATGAATCTACAAGTTGGGATCTGGCCCTGGGTCTGGCTGACTTCTAAGCCCCTGGGCTGTGTGGCTTTCTCAGAGCCACTAGAGAGCATGCAGTAGGTGTCTGCTTGGTCCACTCGCTAGAGATCTGACCTGACCCATGGTGTTGGTGTCTCAGGGATGCCTGGGTATCTCAGGGACCCACAGTTCGGGGGTTAGTGGGGGTTCAGGCTGCAAAGCAAAGCTGTCAGGTGAGGCCACGTCCCCCTCTCACTTCAGGTCACCTGCCATGAGCTTTGTCACCTCCTGGGCCTGGGGAACTGCCGCTGGCTCCGCTGCGTCCTGCAGGGGGCACTCAGCCTGGATGAGGTGCTGCGGAGACCCCTGGATCTGTGTCCCATCTGCCTGCGGAAGCTGCAGCAAGTCCTGGGCTTCAGGCTTGTGGACAGGTACAAGGTGAGTGTGGGGTGGGGCAGGCTCCGGGGAGGTGGTGGGAGGGGATGCAGCTCCGGGCCCTAGGGGAGCCACTGAACACATACTGTCACTTCTCGGGGGCCTGCAGGTCTCCTGGGCAAGTGGAAAGCCCAATGTAGTGGTGGTGGCATCAGGTTGTAGTGTGGGTGATGGGGAGAAGTGCAGATGGCTCCGCAGCGGAGCTGTATCCGTAGAGCACTGGTGAGGGCCACTCTCTTGACATCGCCTTCCTCTCCCTTGCTCTGTAGTAGACAGTGTGGATTTTGCACCCAGAAGGCGTGCAGCCCCCTGGGAGAAGGAGGGGAAGACGCCCAAGCTGGCGTCCGGAAGGTCAGGCCTCCAGGAAAGGCGGGCCTGTGAGAGGATGCTGCCCTCTGATGGCGACATGTGTTATTGCAGTGGAGCAAGTCCACCAGGGCCCCGGAATCATTCCTTAATCTTGCAGGAAGGCGCCTTTGCAAACCAAGACACTTGGCTCAGGGTTCCCAGCTCAAAGGCAGAAAGTGGTGATTTTTTTTCTTTAAAACTATCTTTGAGGGGCTGGAGAGATGGCTCAGCAGTTAAGAACACTGGCTGATCTTGCAGAGGACCTGGGTTCAATTCCCAGCACCCACATGGCAGCTAACAACCGTCAGTAACTCCAGTTCCAAGGGAATCCAACACCTTTCTCTTACCTCCATGGGCATCGCATGACACGAGTGCACTTACATACATGCAGGCAACACATTCATACACTTAAATAATAATAAAAAAACCCCACCTTTGAAACAGGGTATAGTGGTGCACACCTTTAATCTCAGCACTCTGGAGGCAAAAGGCAGGTGGATCTCTGATATTTTATATTACTTATAAAAATAATAAATGAAAAAAATAAAAAAGAAAAAATAAATGAAATATTTAAAAACTTTAAAAAATCAAACTAAAACGACCCCCCCTCCCAATCAAACCAAAACAAACAAAAAAAACCCAAAACAAACCCACAGAAAAACAACTTTTGGTTGTGGGAAGCCTCTCTCATTCTCTGCAAGTTTCTATATTATATTTGTTTATTTTATGTGTATGAGTGTTTTGCCTGCATGTGTCAGTGCACCATATGTATGCAATGCCCGAGGAGGCCAGAAGAGGGTGTCTGATCCTCTGGAACTGGAATTAAGGATGGCTTTTAGCCATCATGTGCATTCTTGGAACCAAACCTGGGTTCTCTTTAAGAGCAGTCAGTGATCTTAACTGCTGAGCCATTTCTCCAGCCCTGCATTAATTAATTAATTAATTAACTTTTTGTTTGGTTGGTTGTTTTTGTATGAGTGCCTGGCATGCGTGTGGAGGTCAGAAGACAACTTGAAGGGAATGGTTCTCTCCTTCTGCCTTTGAGGTCCTGGGAATCGAGCTCAGGCTGGTAGCAAGGGACTTCACCCACGGAGCCATCTTGCCAGCCCCTTCCTGCAAGTTTTTGATGGGTTGTGGCTCTCAGATTGCACCAGGGGCTGGGTTGGCACACGTGGGTGGCCAAGCCCTTCTGAGGACAGGACTTAGGGACTGGTGGGGCTCTGTCCTTCCAGGTTGTCACAGGAGGTGGAGTCTGCCCAGTGTCTCCTAAGGACTCTGGTAGGAGCCACAGAGCTGACTGAAGGCTTGACCTGGAAAGCTCATGGCCTCAGAGAGGAGCTAGGACACACAGCAGAGCTGGGACACAGGTTGTCCACCCTGGGGACATGGTATAGGAAGCCAACACCACAGTACAGCTAACAACAGGCTGCAGTGAATCACTTAGGGGAGTGAATTGTTTAGATTCTTCCCTTTGACTTAAAAAAGTTTTAACTTGGGGGCTGGAAAGATGGTTCAGTGGTTAAGAACACTGGCTGCTTTGCAGAGGACCTGGGTTCAGTTCCCAGCACCCTCATGGTGACTAACAGCTGTCCAAACTCCAGTTCCAGAGGATCCAACACCTTCTTCTGTTCTCCACAGGCATGGTACACATGGGTGCATTTACATATATACAGGCAAAACACTCATACACATATAATTTAAAAATTAAAGTTTTAACTTTAGGGGTTGGAGAAACAGCTCAGTGGGTAAAGTGCTTACTGCACAAACATGAGGATCTGAGTTCAATACCCAGCACCCATGTAAAAATCTAGGTGTGGGAGCATGCATCTGTAACCCTAGCTCTGGGGAAGGAGACAGGAGGAACCCTGGAGTTTGATGGACAGCCAGTCTAGCTGAATCAGTGAGCTCCAGGTTCAGTGAGAGACTATGCCTCAAAAAATAAGGTGGAGAGAGACTGAGGAAGACACCGGATGGTGACATCTGGCCTCCACATGTATGTGGGCACACACATACTTACATGCACACATGAAGACATACACACTCAACACAAAGTTCAAACTATTTATAATCTTCATATATTTGACCTTTGAGAAGTGGCTAGGTTAACAACTAGCCTGCCAAGTCCCTGTGAACGGTGGGCTTCTGTGAACTGGGCTGTTCAACTTCGCTGGAGCCTGGACTCTAGTCCCTAGATGTACCAAGCTCAAGGGCCTTCCTGGCTCTGGTCTCATGTTGGCCCTGTGGCCACCCCCACCCCCTCCCCTCAGTTCTCTGGCTAGACAGAGTAACCTCAGCCTGTGTCTCTCCCTGCAGAGACTCTATACGTGGACCCGAGTGGCAGCGGGGACGTGGCTGGGTCAAGAGGCTGGGGAGCCATCAGTGTCAGAGGACACCCTGCCCTTCAGTGCTGACTCAGGCATGGGCTGTGAGAGTGACTCAGAGCCTGCCACCAGCCTGTCAGAGCCCCTCACCCCGGATATGTGGAGTCACGCCTTCCCAGACGGGCCTGAACCAGGATCCGAGGATGGGCTGAGCTCTCTGGGGGCCTCAGAGGTGTTGTCAAAACCTGGAGGCCCCATGGAGGCCATTGAGGAGTATGGACAGTGGCTGTCTTCATGCATCCAGGCCCTGGAGAGGGAAGTGACTGAAGAGGAGCTGGCCCTGGTGGACAAGGCCGTGGACACCCTAGACTGCTGGGAGATGTTCACTGGGCAGCTCCCAGCTCCCAGGCAGGACGTGCCCTGTGTCAGGGATAGCGTGGGGCTTCGAAAAGTCCTGGGGGACAAGCTCTCTTCCCTGAGGCAGAGGCTGAGCACACGCCGGCTTACCAAGGCCAATTCTTCCCCCTGTCGCTGGGAGGCAAAGAATTAATACAGCAGGATGGACTATCTGAAGCAGAGAAGTTGGCTCCTAGCAACCAACCTTGACTGCCCAGTGACTGAGGGTACTTTGGTCCCTGAAGGGCTAAAAGAAAGCTCCTTGGAAATGGAAGAATTTATCCTTAGGTGCCTGGTCACAGGGTCCCCATGGCATGTTGTCTGCAGCTGTGGTATACACATGAATGCAGTATCTGCAGAGGCCAGAAGAGGGCGTCAGATCCTCTGGAGCTGGAGTTACAGGGATTGTGAGCTGCCCAATGTGGGTGCTGGGAACCAAACTCAGGACCTCTGCTTTTATCTGCTGAGCCTTCTCTCCAGCCCCAATGTACTGTTTCTACCTGGCCCCAGACACACGGGGTTCTTGTCTGTGGCAAGAATTGACTCACTGGTCTCCAGGGTCTTTCTGAAGTGCTTCCTGTATCCCGCCATTTCCTCCGATAGGGGCTGCAGAAGTGGGGTGACTGATATGCAGGTTTGTGTGTGTGTGTGTGGAGTACGTGTGAGGCAGAGGCCTTCCTCCACCCAGAGGCCGCTGTCTGCAGGGAACACAAATGGTACTTGTGACTCTTTTCTGACAATGGTGGTTGTGCTGTCATCACGGGTTAGGCAGTGTGGGTGATGGCTCCGCTCATCTGTCTTCAATGACCTTCTGGCATTGTTCTATTGATTCCTGACAGAGTGATGTTAAAATTATCCGCCCACAGCTGTGCTGTTGTTGAATTTCCCTTTCCTTCTGTCGATGCTCTTTTGCACACGCACACACTCACACAATGATTGTTTACCCTCTCATTGTTCTTAAATGCCCCAGCTGGCCAACAATGCCAGAGTCTCAAAGAGAGAAGCTTCTGGTCTGATACTCCTGTGGAGGGAGGAGAGTGGGGTCTCAGCCCTTCCCCTTGTGGACTGAGGCAAGAGGAGAGAGCACACATCTTTTAAGTGAGAAGCTGTGTTAGTTTGCTTTTCATCGCTGTGACAAAATACCTGAGCAGATCAGCTTAAAGGAGGAAAGGGTTGTTGGGCTCATGGCTTCAAGGGTTTCGTTTGTGGTCTGGCTCCATGGGATTTGGCTGTGGTGAGGTAGAACATTATGGTGGGGAGGGAGTGGTAGAGCAGAGCTGCTCACCTCTGGAGGTCAGAAAGTGGGGGGAGGAGCTTCCTTCAAAGGAAGTTCCTACTGATCTCCCCTCCAGCTAGGCTCACCTCCTAGTGCCCACCACTACCACTGACTTATTTTTTTGAGTCAGGGTCTCACTATGTAGCCTGAAACTCACTATGTAGATCAGGCTGGCCTCAAACTCACAGAGATCTGTCTGCCTTGGCCTCTCCGGTGCTGGGGTTAAAGGCATGTGCTACCATGCCCTGCCTTTCTTTTAAAGGCAGGATCGCATGTCTCATGTAGCTCAGGCTGCCCTCAAACTCACTGGGTAGCTAGGGACGACCTTGAATTTCTGATCCTCCTGCCTACACACACACACACACACACACACACACACACACACACACACCCCACACCTGATTTATGTGGTACGGGGACAGAACCCAGGGCTTCATGCATGCTGGGCAAACATTCTACCAACTTAGCCATATCCCTAGCCCCAAATGTGGATTAAAAAAATTACTTTGGTGTATTATTAGGCGCACACACAGTGCACAGGTGAAGATCAGAGCACCGTTTTGGAGTTGGTTCTCTCTAACTCGTTGAGACCGGGTCCCTCTGTATGTTTCAGACTAGCTGGCCTATGAACTTCCAATCAGTTCTCCTGCAGGAGTGCTGAGATTGCAGATGTGTGCCATGCATCAGGCTTTTTAAGTGGGTTCTGGGACTCGAACTCAGAGTGTCAGGCTTGTGTGGCAAGCACTTTTACCTGCTGAACCATTTTGCTGTACCCCTGATAGATTTTTTTTTTGTCTTTTTGAGATGGGGGCCTCTTTGTAGCCCAGCTGTCCTGGAATTCACTATGTAGACCAGCCTGGCCTTGAACTCACAAAGATCTGCCTGCCTCTGCCTCCCAAGTGCTGGGATTAAAGGTGTGTGCCACCATGCCTGGCTGTCCCGATAGATTTTAAAAAGAAAAAAAGCACAGAGTTGACTCTAGCATTCCCTTACCCCCGGATCTGGGGAGAGCCCAGGGGACAAGGGTCTATCCTCATCAAGAGCCTCTGGAGTCTTGCTTGGTAGAGCTGGAGACTGAGTAAAGATGTTTCCGGGTCACTGCGTGTCTCCTGCTTTGCCAGGATGCTCTTCCGACTTTGACCAGGGGCGAGTAGCAGAGCCAGGGCCATGGTAGCAGATGCGTCTTTGGCTGCCCTGACCTCCCCTCTTCTACCCAGAGCCAAGGTTCCCAGAGGGGAGGGAAGACTAGCATTTTGTTCTTGCCCATGACAGAAACTTTAAAAAAATTATTTATTTTTTGTGTATGAATGTATTGTCTGCATGTACATGAGTGCACCCGTGTCGTGCAATGCCGTGGAGGTCAGAAGAGGCCTTTGGATTCCTCTGGAACTGGAGTTAAAGACGGTTCATAACCGCCATGTGGGTGCTGAGAATCGAACCCGGGTCCTGTGCAAGAGCAGTCAGCACTCTTAACCGCTGAGCTATCTCTCTCTGCCTTTGCTCACTATATTCCTTGAACTCTGCAGGGAATCAAGCAAAGGAGATGAACAGGCAGCTGGTGACCTTCACCCTGACTCCCAGGCAGCACCCCACCCTGCCCCTCAAAGCTCCTGATGGCTGCCATATGTTTGCTTCACCATGGGGTGGGAGGCTGGTGAGATGGCTCAATGGGTAATGGCTCTTTTTTATGCAAGCCTGATGACTTGAGTTTGAATCCCGGAACCCACATAAAGGTGGAAGGTCAAAACCAGCTCCACAAAGGTGTGCTCTGACCTCCACTCACATGCTGTGGCACACTTGTACACACACACACACACACACACACACACACACACAAACAATACTACTACTACTACTACTACTACTACTACTAAGACCCTGTAGCATTAAGCACAGCGCTTGTGGCCTGCTGACTATCAGAGAGGGAACACTGTGGGCGGGGACTGGCTGAACACGCAGTGATCCCGATTTTTCTTGGAAATTGACCTTTAAAACAAGCCTCTGACTTAAAGCTTGTTTTTATTTGCCTTTTACTCAAGAAGCTGTGCCCAAAAATAAACCTGAGTTATTTTGGGCTCTTGCTGGTGATGAGAGGTGATTTGGGGGAAAGCTGGACTGGGAGGGACTGCTGCTGCTGCTGGCCACTGTTGTTTGCATTTCTTTTCCGTGTGTTTTGCATCTATCTATCTATCTATCTATCTATCTATCTATCTATCTATCCATCATCTCGTATATCCGTGCATTCAATGCCCAGGGAGGCCAGAAGAGGGCGCTGGGTCTGAAGTTAAGGATGGTTGTTAGCCACCATGTGGGTGCTGAGAACTGAACCCAAGTCCTCTGCAAGAGTAGCCAGTGCTCTTAACCAATGAGCCATTTCTCCAGCCCCTCATTTGCAATTCTTGTAGCAGATTTCAGAACCAGAAGCTGGGTTCCTGGGTTTGGGATATGTCTCAGCTGGTAGATTGTCTAGTATGCACAAGGCCCTGGGTTCCATCTTCAACACTATATAAACTAGGTGTGGTGATACAGAGCTGTAATCCCAGCATTCAGGAGATGGAGGCAGGCGGATCAGAAGTTCAAGGTCGTCCTCAACTGCACTGGGCAGTAGGAGACCAGTGTAAGGTACATGAGATCCTGTCTGAAAAATAACAGGGAGGTTAGGTAGATGACTCAGCAGGTAAGAGCACTTGTTACACAAGCACGTGGACCTGAGTTTGAATCCCCAGAATCCACACAAAAAACCAGGTGTGGTTGCACATCCTAGTAACCCCAGCACTGTTGGGAGTGAAGACAGAAGAAACCCTGGGGCTTGCTGGCTCCTGGCCCAGCTCCAGGTTCAGTAAAAGATCCCATCTTCCCAAGTGATTCTAGATTGGGACAAGTAGACAAAACTAAAACTGATCATCACAGCTAGTACGGAATAGAAGGAAGCAAGCCAGTCACCAAGACCCCTCAGTCCCATGGGACAGTTCTTCCAAAACAGAACGGCTGGGATCATACTGAGTGGAATGGACACACAGCAAAGCTAAAGTAAAGGTACCAAGTGTCAGGCTGGGGACAACGCTCCTTTGCTTTCTCTTACCAGGGCTAGAAAAGAGAGCCCTTGAGCAGCATGCTTGATCGCAGTGCTTGCTCAGTGTGGACTGTTAGAGGCTGGGACAGTTGTCTGAGGGAACAGGTCAGTGTTCACATGCCAATTCAGACACAAGACCACCTGCAGAGTCCCCACTCCTAGCTGCTCACACGCAGGCACCTTGGCTGAAGGCTTGAACTAGTGCCTGAAGTTCTGTGGAGCAAATGTGGCCATATTTCGAACACAACTCCTTTAGTTTGTGTGTGGGTACGCCTGCCCACGTGTGTAAGCAGAGGTCAGAGGACGTTGGGTGTCCTCCTTTTACTCTGTTGTATTCCCTTGAGACAGGGCCACTCACTGAACCTGGAGCCCCAGCCTTCCTCCTGTCTCTGGCCCCACAGTGCTGGGCTTACAGGTACATGTACCCACAACTGGCATTTTACATAGGTGCTGGAACTCAGGTCCTCATGTTTGTGCAAGTGCTTTTACCCACAGAGCCATCTTCCTGGCACCTTAGCTGTGCTTTATTGTTGAGACAGGGTCTCATATACCCCAGGCCCCCTTTGAATTTGGAAGTAGCAGAGGATGACCTTGAACTCCTGCACCCTCCTCGCCAAGGCTGGGATCCCAGGTGCATTTCACAGCACATGCTTCAGGGATGTACTATGAGAGACTTCATTTAAAAACAGTATTTATGATGCGTGCCTCTCCTGTCAGGCTCTGGCATGTGAAAATAAAACCTATAATTAGCCAACAATGAATCTTCAAGTGAAATGGTTGGCATTACCTGTGCTAAACTTTTGGGATGGAAAAATTAGAAATCGAGGGGAGGCTTTGAGTGCTGAGCTGTATTTTATATCAAACAATTATATCAAGGATTCATTCTGACCGACATCTAGAGACTGGATGCTCACTCGGATCTTCAAGCCAGCCAGCACCAACCAGTGTGAAATAGAAAGCTGCTGGTCCTGGGATGCTGCCCAGTGAATACTTTCTATATTTAATTTTTTATCTTTTAATTTAGTTAATGTGTATGAATGTTTTGCCTGTGTGGATGTAAGTGCACCCATGTTGTGCAATGCCTGAGGAGACCAGAGAGAGCATTGGATCCCCTGGAACTGGAGTTACAGATGGTTGTTAGCCACCATGTGGGTGCTTTGAACCAAACTTGGGCCTTCTGCAAGAGTAGCCAGTGTTCTTAACTACTGAGCCATATCTCCAGCTCCTTTTTTTTTTTAAAAGAAAATTATTTTCTTAAAATTTTATTTATATTTTTTATTTTATGTGTAATGTGTGCATTGCCTGCATGTATGTAAGTGCACCCATGTCATGCAGTGCCCTTAGAGGTCAGAAGAGGCTGTCGGATCCCCTGGGACTGGAGTTACAGTTGTTAGCTGCCATGTGGGTGCTGGGATTAGAACCCGGGTCTTCTGCAAGAACAACCAGTGTTCTTAACTGCTAAGCCATCTCTCCAGCCCCTTTATTATTTTTATGTGTATGTGTGTATTGCCTGCATGTAGGTAAGTGCACCCGTGGAGGAAAGAAGAGGCTGTTGGGTCCCCTGGAACTGAAGTTACAGACAGTTGTTAGGTGCTATGTAGATGCTGGGATTCGAATCTGGGTCTTCTGCAAGAACAGCCAGTGTTCTTAACCACTGAGCCATCTCTCCAGCTCCTTTTTAAATAAAAGATTTTTATTTTATGAGTGTTTTGCCTGCTTGTATGTATGTGCACCATGTGCATGCCCTTGGAGGCTAGAAGAGGGCATTGGAGCCCCTCAAACTGGAGTTACAGGTAGTTGGTTAACTGCTATGTGGGTGCTGGGAACTGAACTTGAGTCCTCTGCAAGAGAAGCCAGTGTTCTTAACCGCTGAGCCATCTCTCCGGCCTCATTCCCACCAGTGGGTACTTGTCTGGTGTGTAACCAGACTAGTCCTAGGAACCTCAGCCAAATACTAATAAACTCTTCATTATCGTTTTGTGTATATATATGCAAGTACACGCATGTGGGCAGGCCAGAAGTCAACTCTGAGTGTTGTCCCCCTCCAGGCCTGGGATTGTAAGTGCTTGAAGCATTTTCTGTAGGTGCTTGGGATTAAACTAAGGTCCTCATGCTTGTACACACACCACATGGTGTACATACATACATATACTCAGACACATACATATGCACATAAAAAAATCTTAAAAAATGTATTTTGGTAAAACCCTACACATATTCTTTAATATAAACAGTGCACTGAGGAGGAAGATACCTTATTTTGAGGAAGTTTATTGTTACATTTTTTATTTTTTGCAATAATAGACGAGGCTTCTCCAACATTGCAATAAAAGAAAGGACAATAGTCAAGGTAACAGTGAAATTAAAATTAAAAAAATAGAAAAGCCTAAGGTTTGGGAGACAAAACTGACTACAATCTATGTGTACAAAGTTGTAAATGATTTCAGTCTAGCCTTGCAAACAGTTATCTCATTTTCCAATCGCATTGCTTCATGTTTCACAGAGTGGGGGTGTCCTTACAGAGAGGACGGGCGGCCAGGCTCAGCTCGCCAGGGCAGTGGACCAGAGGCCGAGCTGGTCCAGGACCAGGCCTCCAGCCATCCACCCGCTTTCTGTTCAGTTAAATGGAAGTCATGCATCCCGCTACGCACATGCTTCCAGCTTTGAAAGTGACTGGTACATATGTCAGGCTGTCAGGGACAGCACTCTCCCTGATGAGGCTGGCCCAGACAACTCCACCAGTTATCCCAGTCAGGGGGGCAGCAGCCTCCAACAGTGGTGAAGCAGAACAGCTTGTGTCCCCTTGGGGTCTCAGTAGTGATTGACCTGTGAGTTACCTAAGACACCCAGGCAAGTGAGGCTCACTGCACGGGGACTGGGCTCCTTTACACCCGAGGCTGAGGAGCACTGTGAGGCTGTGGTCTCCTTTAAACTCACCCTGGTCACATCCCCTCAGCTTACAGAGCTCAAAAAAGCAGATAGAAACAGCAACACTTTCTTTCCAAAGGCAAGAGCCAGAAGCCTAGCAAACACTGATAGAAAACCTTGAGCAGAGAGAGACAGAGACTCATGCTGTCTCCTAATCAGGGATCTATAGTAACAAAGGGGGCCTCAGTAGCAGGCTTCCCTCCCTTCTTCTGGCTTAGAATCTATTCTAAGAATCCTATTTGTCTGGTGGCTGAAATGAGTCAAGAGTGGGATTCAACAAGGAGCCAAGTGTCAGGAGCAGTGTGGCTGCTGATGGGGCCCTTGGAAGTGTGAGCCATGGAACATTCTGGATCTAGAGATTTTATTTTAAATGCAAGAATAACACTTCCCTCTCCCCACCCCAGCCTGGAGAGAGTAATATATAGAGGGACTGGTCTGGAATGCAAAATATTTTTAAAGCACAGTGTGACACCTGCTGGGAGCCTGATGGCCTGAGCTGAGATGTACCAGTTCGTGCTGAGGTGCCTGGCCTTCTGCACCTGACTGGAGCTCACAGGGTGCCTGCTGGCTGTGTGCACAGTGACAAGAAGCCTGATGGGAGCCTGGGAACCTGCACTTTGTGAAGGCAACAGTGAGAGTGTGCAGGACCTCCAGCTTCTCCTGAGGGGCCAGCAGCTAGGGATGCCAGCTGATGAGGCACAGAGCTCTACAGGGGCTTTTGCCGGCTTTTAGAGCCCAGATTGGAGGGGGGGGACGGACACCAGATGCCGCCAACTGTCAAGTAAGGCAGGGGAGCCACCCACAAGGCCACTTGGTTATGTCTTTGCCACTGGCTGGGGAGGGAAGTAGGGAGGAATGAGAGCACCAGTGGGGACCCGGACTGAGCCACGGCCGTGCCAGAGGCCACCTCTCCATGCTGTGGCTGCTGGGCGTGCAGACAAGGTGGGTGGCTTTTGGAGCATTAAGGCAGGTCCACAGCACCCACTGTATTCTCTACAGTGGGGAGGGGAACCCCTGGCCTGGTTCCTAGGCCCAACCAGGTGTGTCCAGAGTGTGGACTCTTGGGTGCTGGCACAATTTTAAAGGCAGTGTATTCACTTTGGGAGCTGGCACTGAGGCCTGAGCTGGGTTTTGGGGCCAGCTCAGGCAGTCTGAGCTTAGCAGCGTTGCATGCCCCTCTGCACCTAACGGGAGGCAAAGCTTCGGGATTAGTGGGTCAGTGAAGACCTGCAAGTTAGAGAAAGCTATCTGCAAGGCTGGCTGGGGTCTGTGTTTCTGTCATTAGAGAAAGCACGTGTTTGTGTGTGTCCACACCTGAACCTTCGTTAAGCTGTGTCAGCAAAGGAGCAGTTTCTGTAGGGAGAGAGGAAGCTGTGTTAGGCATCACAAATTAACACCAGAGCGATCATGAGTTCAGTAGTTTCAGCAGTCCCCAGATTCAGTAGCTATCATCAAAGCTCCCACGCCTCTTGCCTGGAGCTTGCTGGCCGGCTGGTGGCACAGCATCAGTGAGCTGGGTATTGGGTGGAAGGCGTGGATCAGTGACACCCACCGCAGGTCCCTGCAGGCGACACACACACACACCAGAGACTGTGGCAGAGCTGTCCTCACTGCAACATGATGTCCTTCAGGTTTTCCTGCAGGATGGTGTCCTTTACAGCATGGAACACAAAGCGGATGTTCTCGGTGTCTATGGCGGTGGTGAAGTGGTGGAACAGGGGCTTGCTGCGGTTTCGCCGCTTGCGGTCGAAGCACTGCACCAGGTAGCGCTGCACGTCCTCCAGCCGGTGCGGGTCGCCTTTGAAATCTGGAAAGTGCTTCTTGATGCTCACGGACTTCACCTTCTCCACTAGGAGGTCCATCTTGTTGAGAAAAAGGATGATGGAGACGTTGAAAAACAGCTTGTTGTTGACGATGGTCTCAAAGATGTTCATGGACTCCACCAGCCGGTTGGTGCGCCTGTCCTCCATGAGCACCTGGTCGTACTCACTCGAGGACACCATGAACAGGATGGACGTGATCCCATCGAAACACTGGAACCACTTCTGGCGCTGTGAGCGCTGGCCGCCCACGTCTACCATCTTAAACGGGATCTTCTTGATAACGAAGTCATGTTCCACAATCCCCTTGGTGGCCTTTCTGGCCAACAGGATGTCTTGCTTACTGGGGAAGTAGTTCTGCAAAACACAGGGGAGGATGCCACTTAGTTTCTGTCAACTCCACCCAAACTAGACACACTTGGGAGAAATCACTTGAACAATTCCTCCATTAGGCTGGCCTGTGGCCATGTCTGTGGGGCATTGTATTGATTGCTAATTGATGCAGGAGGGCCCAGCCCACTGTGGGCAATGCCATCCCTGGGCAGGTGGGCCTGGGCTGTGTAAGAAAGGTAGCTGAGCTGGACGTGGTGGTGCACGCCTTTAATCTTAGCACTAGGGAGGCAGAGGCGGGCAGATCTCTGTGAGGTCTTGGCCAGCCTGGTCTACATAGTGAGTTCCAGGACAGCTGGGGCTACAGGGAGACCCTGTTTCAAAAAGATCAAAAAAAAAAAAAAAAAAAAAAAAAAAGAAAAGAAAGTAGCTGAGTAACTGAGTAAGCTACGGAGCAAGCTGGTAAGCAGCTTTCCTCTGCTTCAGTTCCTGTCTCCTGTCTCCAGGTTCCTGCTTGAGTCCCTTCCCTGACTTTTCTCAGTGACAGACTGACGTGGAAGTGTGAGCCAAGTAACCCCCTCCTCCTGACCTCCAGCTGGTTTTGGTTAGTGTTTGACCACTGCAACAGAATAACCAGAACAGAAACTAGTACCAGAGAGTGGGGTTTGCTGTGATGAACCTGATCATGTTGATTTGGAGTTTTGGGGAGAAAAGCTGTTGAGTGCTTAGACCTTAATGGGCAGTTCTGTGGGCATTTGAAAGGCAAGAATGTTAAGAGAAAGGTGGACAATGGAGGCCTGTGAAGTGTCAGAGGGAAGCAAAGACTCTATTGGAATCCTGATATTTTTGAACTGAGAATCTGGTTTCTGGTCAGCTAAGGATGAAGAATCAGCTGTGACAAAAGACCACAGCAACACTGAGGTAAAACCTCCTGGGAAGTGTTTCTTCAGGGCAGCATACAGAAGCTGTGGTCCAGAGGGCAAGGTTGCATCTCAAGCCGGCGGCTGAACTTAGCAATGTGCAAGAGTCTCCTACATGGCACTGGTTTTGAAGGCATAAAAGGATCATGGAAAGCAGATGAAGGCTGGCATTGTGAGAGGCAAGGTGAGGCTACTGGTGACACTGTAACCTTAGCTGCAGAGGAGACCCCAAGATACTGGAGATGCCAGAACTATGGAATGACTACCAAAGACAGCAGCAGGTGTGGAGTGGAGCTGGCCTGAGCCTGTGAGACAAGCTGTGTGTGCCCTGACTGGCAGACCTGGAGAAGCAGAACTGCCCAAGCCTTTTGGAGCCCAAACATCCCAAGTCCCAGTGCTAGACAAGTAGCACTACTGGACTTTGGTGTGATGGCGATTATTCCTGGCTGCTCTTCTCTCTGGAGTAAGAAAGTGGTTAACTTGTTTTTGATTTTATAGGAACCCACAGTTAAGAGACTTTGGATTTTAAAAATATTTATTATTTTTATTTTATGTGTATGAGTATATCGCCTACATGTAGGTAGGTACACTGTGTTGTGCTGTGCCTGCAGAGATCAGAAGATGTCAGATCTCCTGGAACTGGAGTTATAGACTGTTGGGGGTGCTGGCAATTGAACCCAGGTCCTTTGTAAGAGTAGCTAGTGCTTTTAGCCAGTGAGTCATCTCTCTAGCCCCAACTCTGGATTTTTAAGACAAATGGATTTTTTTCTTTTCTTGGGACTGGGATTGAAACCAGCAAGCTCCAGCAGTTCTCCCACCTCTGCTTCTCAGAGTGGTGGGGTTACAGCCACCCACTCAGCCATGCCCAGCTTTTATTTTTTATTTATTTTATATTATTATTATTTTGAGACAGGGTCTCCCTGAAGCCCCAGCTAGCATAGAATTCACTATGTAGACCAGACTGGCCTTGATCTCACAGAGATCCACTTGCCTCCCAAGTGCTGGGATTAAAGGTATATACTACCACACCTGGCTTTATTTTTTATTTTTTGTGTATGAGTGCTTTGCCTGCATGCATTAAATACATGATGTGTGTACAGATACTAGCAGTGGGTATTGGATGCCCTGGAACAGGAGTTAAGGATGGTGCTGGTCACCATGTGGGTGCTGGGAACCAAACCTGGGTCTTCTGCAAGAGTAGCCAGTGCTGTTAACTGTTGAGCCATCTCTCTAGCCTGATACATTAGACCTCTATCGTGTTGAAAAATGTAAAGACTGTGGAATTTTAAAAGCTGCACCATATATTAATATGATAAACAAGAAAGGAAAGGTTATAGTCTGAAATTATGTGTTTCTGTGTGAAACTGGCAAAGGGTTAATTGTGCTTAGTTTGTGTTTGACACAAACTAGACACTCTTGGGAAGAGGAAATCTCCACTGAGCAATTTCCACTATCACAGTACCCTGAGGCCATATCTGTGGGCATTTTCTTGATTGCAAATTGATGTGGGAGGGCGTGGCCCATTGTGTGTGGTACCATCCCTAGACAGGTGGGGGCCTGGGCTGTATAAGGTAGGTGAGGGGCTAGAGAGATGGGTCAGTGGTCAAGAGCACAGGCTGCTTATGCAGAGGACCTGGATTCGATTCCTAGCACCCACATGGCTGATAACTGTCTGTAACTCCAGCTTCAAGGGATCTGATGCCTCTTCTGACTTCTGCAGACACTTCATGACATGGGTACACTTGCAAGCAATACAATCATACTCCTAAAATAAAAATAATAAAATATTTTAAGAAAGCTGAGCAAGTTAGGGGGAGCAAGCCAGTAAGCAGCGTTCCTCCATGGTCTCTGGTTCAGTTCCTGCTCTGCTTCCCTTAGTGATGAACTCTAACTTGTAAGTTGAAATAAACCCTTTCCTCCCCAAGTTGCTTTTGGCTAATGCTATATTACAGCAACTGAGAAGCAAACTAGAGCAGAGGGAGCTATCTGAGAGGGGGAGAAAGGACAAGAAAAGATGGGAACAAAAAGCTGGCAGAACAGGGCGCAGGGAAAATTATAGGGACTTTGGCAAGAACATTTAATTAAACACCAAAAGCAAGTTTCACTAACAGAATTCTAAACCCACTGGGAAACAAAGCAACAGGATTAAACATCTCATTTTGCAGTGAACATAGACTCTGTGATCTGAGACAGGTCAGAATCTTCAGTCAGGCCTCCTATAAAATCCCATTCATTTTTAATAAAAATATTTTACCTATTATTATTAATTTTAAAAAATTTATTATTTTTACTTTATGTGTATGCATGTATTGCCTGCGTGTATGTAAGTGCACCTGTGTCATGAAATGCCCACAGAGGTCAGAAAAGGGTGTTGGATCCCCTGGAACTGGACTTACAGATGGTTGTCAGCCACCATGTGGGTGCTGGGAATGGAAACCGGGTCTTCTGCAAGAGCAGCCAGTGATCTTAACTGCTGAGCCATCTCTCCAACCCTGATTTTATTATTTTTAAAAAGATTTTATGCACATGAGTGTTTTCTTGCAAGTATATAAGTGTACCTGTGTTGTGCAATGCCCACAGAAGCCAGAAGGCGTTGGATCCCCTGGAACTGGGGTTACAGACAGTTGTGAGCCTTCATGTGGGTGCTGGGAACTGAATCCAAGTCCTCTAGAAGAGTGGTAAGTGCTCTTAACCACAGAGCTTTCTTTCTGGCCCCGATCTTTTTTTTTTTTTTTGAGACAGCATCTTATTATGTGGCCCATGCCAGCCTATAACTCTGGCTCCTTCTGTCTAGGTCTGCCTGACTGCTGGGATAAGGGGTGCTGTTCCACCATACCCAGCAGCACTGAGGTACTGTGACAATGCAGTTGATGCAGTTGCTGCTGGGTGGGTAGGCTGGTGGTGGAGCTGGTCATGAGCTTCATCATGCTGTGCTTGGGCATATGCTAGAAGCTTTCTATAAGAACAAGTGACAGGAAATCCCCTTTTGTTCCCTCACAGAGTCTGGGGTAAAGCCATTCTCACAGGGCAATTTCTTCCCTTCACTTAAGATCAAGTGCAGATCTGAGCAGGAACATGCCATGACAGAACCATTCATGGTCACTAAGAGCCAGGTCATAGCAAGTAGGAGTCCCACTGCCTGCTTTGGTCTCCACACCAGGTTTTCTAACCCTGGATGGTAGGTTTTTGGGGGTGGGGAGAGGGCTACTCACCAGCTGGCCGATTCGGTCCAAGTTATCCAGGAAGTACTTCACTGACTCACCCTGTCACAAGGAAAAATAAGCACAGCTCAGTCTTGATGGAGGAACCCAGAGTGACAAGTGAAAGGATGGACTGGGGAACAGCAGACTGTTCTCCTGTGTAAACCATAAAGTCTAAGAAGGCAGAGTGTGTATTTTATTTATTTTTATTATTTTATGTGTGTAAGTGTTTTGCCTGCCATGTATGTAAGCACCCATGTCATGCAATGCCCACAGAGGCCAAAAGAGGGTGCCAGATCCCCTGGAACGGGAATTACAGATGGTTGTGAGCTGTCATGTGGGTGTTGGGAACCAAACCTGGGTCATCTGCAAGAGCAGTCAGAGCTCTTAACTGCTGAGTCAACTCTTTAGCCCTATGTATGTAATTTTAAAAACAATCCAGGTGTGGTGGTGCACACCTATAATCCAGCTCTTAGGAAACTGAGATAGGAGGATTACCACAAGTTCAGGTCCAGCTCAGGCTATATATTGAGGACCAATCCAGCCAGGTTTATACAGCAAGATGCTATTTCAGAAGAACAAGACAAAAAACCCTCAAGCTTCACATTAAAAAAAAAAAAAAAAAGCTGATTTGAGGGCTGGAGATGTAGCTCAGTAGGTAGAGTGCTGGTCTAGATGAGTAAAGCTCTGGGTTCTGTTCCTAGACTGCATAAACTGGGTGGTGTTGTATACTTGTAATCCCAACACTTGGGAAGTAGAGGCAGGAGGATCAGGCATTCAAGGTTAATCTCAGCAACAGAGGCTGTTTAGTAAGTTGGAGGCCAGCCTGGGATATGAGGCTGTCTCAAAACAAATAAGCAAAATCAAAACAATGAAAACAAAACAACTGTTGTTTCAGTCTCAGACTGAAGACTGTGTTTCTCAGCCTTTCCCTGCTGACTTCTGCTGCAGATGGATGCTGGCCGTCTCTAGGCCATACCACCGCAAGGCCTGGGGAGGCAAAACCCTGGCCAGCTCTGTCCCTGATACAAATGGCCCACAAGGCTACGGATGCTGTCTGTAAAGACACTAAGCCCTGAAGAGAAGGGACAAGGACAGGAAGCACCTTTCTGATGCAGACATGCTCATGGCCTCACTTATGATACAGCGACAACACTCGGCAGGTTGGCTTTCTGTAGTGAATGGATGAGTCTGTCTTCTGGATTCAGCACCCCCACCCCACCCCATCTTCTAGGAAGTGCTGGGTGGCTCAGTACAATGGTACTCACAGGGCCTGGAGGAATCTAGAGGCCTCCATAGAGTGACTAAAAAGAGAGTGACGGAGGAAGTTGTGAGTGAACACGTGTGCAAAGCTTTCACTAGAAAGCAGAAGGCTGGGGTAGGCAAGATGGCTCCATGGGTAAGAGTGCTTGCTGCCAAGGCTGACAACCTGAGTTTGCTCGATCCCTAACCCACATAAAGGTGTAAGGAGAGAATTCTCTCCACAATGCTGTCCTCTGACCTTCATACGTGTGCTGTGGCACATGTATGTGCACATACACACAAATAAATGTAATTATGAAAGGCCAGAAATCAATTCTTCCATGAATCCCAAAGCATATGACTCTAAAAAATCCCATGGGAGTGAGCCCAGCCTGGGTTCACCCGCTGCCTTCACTAGTATATTCTCACGTACGTGTACAAAGATGAGTACTCACTGACACAGAGACACGTAGAGCAAGGTGGCATTTTAGGTCTTTTAACAAAATTGACTTTAATTTATATGCATGTGTGTGGGGGCCAGAGACAACTTCAGGTGTCATCCTAAGAAATGCAGGCTATATCCTTTAACACATGGTCTCTCAATGGTCAGAGCTCATCAACTAGGTCAGGCTGGTTGGCCAGCAAGCCCCGGAGTTTCTCTTGTCTCGGCCTCCCAGGTCCTGGGATTACAAGCATGTACCACCACTCCTGGCTTTTTTTGTGGGTTCTAGGGCTGAACTCTGGTCCTCACATTTTTGAGGTAAGTACTTTGTCAAGTGAATTATCTCCCAAGCTGCATATTCTAGGTTTTTATCAAGGAAAAGAACATAAAAGGATACCAGATTCCAGCTTGTGACTTTCTGAGAAAAAGTTTGAGAACAGGAGCCACCACCCTCTTAAGGTGGTTATTTTTTTATTTTTTGCCAGGAGCGGTGGCACAAACCTTTAATCCCAGCACTCAGGAAGCAGGGACAGGTGCCTCTCTATGATATTGAGGCCAACCTGTTCTACATAGTGAGTTTCAGGTTAGCTGGGGCTACAGGGAGACCCTGTCTCAAAAAACAACAAAAACAAAAAAGTTACTTCTTAAGTTTATTTTACCTGTGTTTCACCTGTATGTATGTAAGTGTACCACATGCATGCAGTCCATGGAGGCCAGAAAGGGTGCCAGATCCTCTGGAACTGGAGTTAAGGACAGTTGTTAGCTGCTACGTGGGTGCTGCAAGAGGAGCCAGGGCTCTTAACTTCTGAGCCATCTCTCTAGCCCCTTACTTTAGTTTTGGAGCCAGGGTCTCACTATGCAGCCTAGAGCTCATGAGACTCCTGTCCAGCTGTGAGTCCTGGGATGACGGGTGTACATATCATGCCCAGCTTCAGCCCTAGTGGGTCTGTCTCTTGGTCCCCTGTCTCAGAGGAGGTGAAGAGCCATTTCCTTTAGTGAGGCCTCAGCCTTCCTCTGTGGAGGGGAGATGGGGATGATTCAAGGGAGAGGATTTTGCTTCAAGGATGGCAACACCACAGTTCCTCACTATAAGCTCTCACATAAGCAGCAAGGGTAGTTTGCTTCCTTTTATGGGAATGTGGGTGGCCTTGGTGACCAGCTTTGAGGGAAGAGTATCTGAGGGCCAGGATGAAGTTCTCACCTCTCAGGTACCCAGGTCCTCACATAGTCCTGCCCAGCTTCCATGCAAGGAAGCCACTGTGGGGAGGCCAGCAGCTCTGCCCCTCTGATGGCTTAGCCCCGTGGCCCTGTCCACATATCCTCTCCCCTGACAAACAAAGGAAGGACAGATCCCTACGGGGGGGGGGGGCGAACACATATACACGAACACACACACACACACGCACACTAGGTATATGGTGTCAGTCAGCAGTGCATGTGTTTTACTGGGACAGCACACAGCTCAGAGGACACTGGTAAAGATGAATAGGTGATAGGAACTGGGGATATCAGTCATACAACTGCAGGGAAGTGAATTTACCAACAAAGGACAGCAAATCTTAGATGAAGGCACAGCCCAATTTATAACCTGGCCTGCAGAGGACCCAAGAGCCTAGTCCTCCAGGCTTCTGAGCACACACAACCTACACCTGTGCACTGTCCACCTGTGGATTTAAGTTGCTACGCTGTGGCTATTTGTTATCTAGACTCAGAAAAAAATATTTTTCAGGGGTAAGAAACTGTGAACCATAAGAGAAAATGTCATGTTCTCTAGTCCCAGCAGCCCCTTGTATCTCAGAGGTTCTGCCTGCTGTAGAAATGAAGACATATATATATATTTTTGTTGTTGTTATATTTTATTTATGTGTATGAGTGTTCTACCTGCACATATGTCAGTGCGCCACATGCATGCAATGCTTGCAGAGACCAGAAAAAGGTATCAAATCCCTTGAAACTGGAGTTACATACAGACGGGTGTTAGCTGCCATGTGGGTGCTGGGAACAGAACCACTCTGCAAGAGCAGCCAGCTCTTAAGTGCAGAGTCATCTCTCCAGTCCCAGATAGGTATATTTTCTCCTCTATTTTTTCTTAAAAATTTTAAATGCCTTTTAAATATTACATTTATGTGTGTGTGTGTATGTGTGTGTGTGTGTGTGTGTGTGTGCGTGTGCACGTGCCAGCATTATATAAAGATTAGAGGACAACTTTCAGGAGTCAGTTCCTGGGATCCCTCTAACTACTGAGCCATCTCATCAGCCCGATGTGTACATTTTAGTCTAATGCTTGGACATTTTTCCCTTTGCTAACTTAGTGACACCTTGACTTCTGTTCCCTGTCCAGAACCATCTAGAAAAGCTTGCCTCACACTGTCACAGCTGTGAGAAGTGATCTCGTCCACTGACAGAGATGCTGATAAACAGAATCAAAGCACTACAAACCTAATGGCCTGCTGGGAAGTTCTGGCTCCGAATGTGGGGTGAGTCAGTACCTCTTTTCAGCTCTTTCTGGAAAGCCCCTGGATTATTATTACTTTATTCCCAGATGGAGCACAGACAAGGAAACCGAAACACTTAGCAGCTCAAACTACCAGTAATTCTTGCATTAGAAATGAAAACTGAAGCTGGGTGAAGGGGCACATGTCTTTAATTTCAGCATTCAGAAGGCAGAGGCAGGCAGATCTCCGAGTTCCAGGCCAGCCTGGTCTACAGACCCTGTCTAAAAGAAAAACAAAGTCCCTTTCCCCCAGTGCTGGGGACTGAAAACCTAGAGCCTCACATAGCCTCAAGTGTTCTACCACTAAGGCCTAGCCCCAGCTCTTTTTAATTTTTATTTTGAGACGGGGTCTGGATAAGTTTCCCAGGCTGGACTTGAATTTGTAATTCTCCTGTGTTGGCCTCTGGAATAGCTGAGATGACAAGGCTTGACTCTGAGAACATTTTCAAGACCAAGACTACACAAGCATCGATCCAGTGTGGTTATCAGAGAGACTACTACACTGTGATACTTTCTTCATAAGTCAAAGAGGGGAAAGAGGCAAGTGATGGCTTGTCATTATTGGAAGATCATTTTCACCTTGAAGAGTCCTTGAGAGGGTCTCAGGGACACCGAGCTTGCTTGGTGACCACTGTTCACCTCTAAGTTCTGTGGGCACCCAGCTTAGTTCCTCCAACTAACACCACCACCAAGAATGAACACTGGAGGTTATGACCATTGTGAGTGCACAATGTACCTCAAGATAATGCTCGCTTAACAAGTCATATTAAAATGTTCTTTATGGGACGTATTTGCAGTCTCATTCTGTTGCAGTCCAGGCTGGCCTCAAACTCACAGTAATTCTCCTGCTTCAGCCTCCTGAGCACTGGGGTTATAAACGTGTGC